TGCTGGTAAGTGGACCCATGTTGGACTCTTTCGGCCTCTAGCCCCTGGTCAAGACTGGGGACTGGTGCTACTGTAGGTGTGAGATGACTATGTCAGATTTTGTGTCTCAATACAGCTGGGTTTCCAGTGAACATTCAGGGTGTGGTTACGGAGCTCTTTGTATGTGCTTTGGTTAGAGTATCAGCCAAGGCTTATTCTTGCCCTTGGGCCTAGAGCCCCACAGGGCCAGACACTAAGGAGGCCTCAGTCAGTGTTGGCTAAATGAACAAATGAAGAAAGGTGGGAGGACCAGCTGTTAGGCCCTGGCAGGAAGACAGAGCAGGGCTACCTGATTCTCCTATCTTCCTGTCTGTCTGTCTCCAGAGAGTTCATCTGGACATCCAGGTAGGTGAACATGCCAACGACTATGCAGAAATTGCTGCGAAAGACAAGTTGAGTGAGTTGCAGCTACGAGTGCGACAGCTGGTGGAGCAAGTAGAGCAGATCCAGAAAGAGCAGAACTACCAGCGGGTGAGTGGCTGAGCCAGGAGCAGTGGGCTTCCTCCCAGAAGCTGCACACTGACTTAGCCAGGAGTCACATGTCAGATTTATTATGAACCCAAGGGATTTACATGTCTGTGCCGCATTGCAAGTCTAAAAGGTGGGATGGGTATTACTAACTACTTTTAATTGAGAAGGCAGTCTCTTAAGGGGCCGTCATTATCTTATTAGGAGACACACAAAATGACAGAGCAGGAATTGATACCAACACCTTGGGTGTTATTTCCATGGTTCTCAGTGCTCCCGGGATCAAGGGTTTTAATCTCTCCTGTGTCCAGGAGGCAGGCAGGTACTATGAATGGATCTGTGACCATAATGACGGGTAGAATAGTGACCTATCTAAATGGAAACAGCTACTGTGGTCAGCTGAGGGCAGCATTGCAGAATTGCTAGCCCAGGGTTTTAAGAGGCACTTAGAGGTCTCGGTTTTTTATGTAAAAAATTCTGGGTTTTAAATGTTGTCAGAACACTGTGTGAGCCAACAAAAACGTGTATGGGCTCCATCCAGCCCCTGGACCACCAGTTTGCAACCTGTGCACACAATATTCAAGGAGCAGTTTGGGAGACCCAGGCAGAGGGCTCAGAGCAAGTCCACTTCTGAGCGTTCCAGGACAGCTCTGTCTGATAGGGTGATACCACAGCCACTTTACCACTCCCACAGGCATCAGGGTAGGACCAGGTAAGGCTGTACCTTACAGATGAGCAAATAGACCTAGGAGAAATGAGTGGGTTGCCTGAGGTCATCTGGCTGGTGAGGGTGAAGACAGTTCCCAGGTGGGGTGGCTTTTTTCGGGCACTTGACTGGAACCTGGGCAAAGTTAGTTGGCCCTGGGACATCCTCTGGGGAGGGAACCCAGCAGTTCTAGTGGGCCCAGGTGGGGCCCAGCCAACTCAGGCTCGTCTTCCTTTCTCCCCTCCCACAGTGGCGAGAGGAACGCTTCCGGCAGACCAGCGAGAGCACCAACCAGAGGGTGCTGTGGTGGTCTATCCTGCAGACCCTCATTCTCGTAGCCATCGGCGTCTGGCAGATGCGACACCTCAAGAGCTTCTTTGAAGCCAAGAAGCTGGTGTAGCCGTCCCAGGCTTCCCAGGCCATCCTTCCTCCCTGGCTGGGGAAGCAAGGGCCTCCTGGACTGACTTCTCTCCGGCAGGAGGCCTGGTCCCCAGCCATGGGTGTCTGCAGGGGAGAGGGGCCACAGCACAAGCTGAGGGTAGCAGCTTGGCTGGCTAATACTGAGCAGGTGGTAGGGTAAATGCCTGCCCCCTCCCCTGGGCCCTTTGCAGTAATCTGAAGCCACTGGGAGCCCTACTGACACCTCAGAATCACAGTGTTACTTATCAGGGATGTGAGCCTATTGTCTGGGATGACTGGGGGGAGGGGAGTGGGTGGGCAAGCCAAGTCTTCCTTCTGTCTTCCTTTCCTAACTTGGAATTTTGACCAAGTTGGGGCATGATTCCCTGCCACCCAGGAAACCTCACTATTCCCTCCTTGGGCCTAGACCCAGCCTGCTGATCCGGGGTGTGTGTGTCAATTGAGGGTGGGGTAGAGGGAGTTGCAGTGTGGGAAGGTAGCCCTGAGGTGGACCCCAGGTTCTTCACGTGGTTGTTCTTTTGGGGACTAGAGAAACTGGGGTTAGGCCAAATAGAGGCCTTGGTGCTGGTTGGGGATGGGGCCTGCAGAGTCTTAGTTACTGATTTCATTTTCAATAAGTTTAGGTTTGTTACATTGGTTTCCCAATAAAAAAAAATTAACTTCTTGTCCAGTGTAAAGTTACTCTACTGTCAGTGGGCATAGCACTGCAATGTGCTTGAGGGAGTGTCAGTTTTTCCAATGGGAAAAGCACTTCACATTCTGTGTACCCACCTGTGAACTTCATACTTTTCATCCTCTCCATACCCTCCAGTGACAGTGGGTGGTGGTTTTGCCCAAGACCATCTAACAAGTGAAAAGTAGGTGGACAGAATTGTTGTGGTGCTTCAAGGAAGTGCCTAGTTAGTGAAGGTACTGCACATTGAACAGAGGAATGCTGCAGGTGTGGAAAGGACAGGAATCCCTGAGTTGGGGGCAGGAGGGGGATACTGATGGACTTAACCAATAGCATGGGATCTCAGCAGCGACCTTGAAGGAGAGGAAGGATTTTGATGAAAGAAGGCAGGACAGGGGTGGTTGAGGAAAACAGGCAAACAGCTGGTATGCAGATAGATGGGCATTGTTTCAGCTGGAGTTGAGGGGGCGGGGTTGTGAGAAAGCTGGAAAGAAAAGTTGGTTAGAGTTAGAAGAGCCTTGAACGCCAGGTAAGAGATTTGGATATTACCCAGTGTTCAACAAAGTTTTGAGTATTAGAACACCCTGAATATAAACTGAGGAAGGTTAATCCAACAGTGTGTGAGAAGGAGACGGGGTGGGGAGGCAAGTTTGGGGACTACTTGAACTGTCAGGAGAATGTAGTCTGAGCTCATATTGCCACTTAGACCTCCACATTTAGGGGAAAAAAAAAAAACTTTTAAGAACAGCTTTAGAATTGCAGAAAAATTGTGAAGATAGTTTACATCATGCAGTAGTATGGTATATTTGTTAATGTTAAAATGAATGAATCAATAGTGATAGTCCATGCTTTATGCAGATTTCCTTAGTTGTTACATAGTGTCTTTTTTGTTCCAGGAGCCCATCTAGAAGATACCATTGTTACATTTAGTTGTCTCCTTGGGCTCCTCTTGGCTGTGACAGTTTCTCAGACTTTCCTCCTTTATTACCTTGACAGTTTTCAGGGATACTGGTCAGGCATTTTGTAGATTTCCCTCAATTGCAATTGGTCTGATGTTTTTCTCATGATTAGACTGGGGTCCTGGGTTTTTGAAAGACCACAAAAGGAAAGTGCCATTCTCATCCCATCATATTAAGGGTACTAATTATCAACATGATTGTGGATGTCACAGTTTAAAATAAGTTAATTTGGATTTTTACATGAAACCTGACTTAGATCTGATACTAGTGGGGCTTCATCCTGATGCGACAACAATTAGCTGGACTGAATGGGAGCTATGCCCTTAAGATGGGCTTGTGCTTTCCAGGTCAGGCCCATCTCCCATTTTCCATCTTTGGCCTTACCTGACTGTCTCTGCAGGGGTCAGCCTTGACTTTGTCATCAGCCAAATCTAGGCTGGATTTTTCGAGGTTCTGGTATAAGGTACGCTGCCCTGGGAGAGCTTAGCAGTAAGGGGACTGGTGGGTTGTACGATGGGTGAAAGGGGGCTCCTGGGAATGATTAATTTCCTACCTACTATAGTGAAGTCCTCTCAGAAGCAGAGTGGTTGAGACCATAGATTGTGCAACCAAACTACCTGGGCTTACATTCTGAATTACTTCTCTGTGCTTCAGTTCCCTCATCTTTAAAGTGGGCATAATAAGTACAATACTCATAAGGACAGATCGAGATAACAGTAGTAAAGAATTTAGAAAAATGACTGGCACATAGTAAGAACTCAATGGATGTTATTTATTAGGAAACTTAAAATGTGCCTGGAAGAACAGGAGATCAAGTCTAATAACTTTGCCACTCTCTTTTCCCAGGTAGGAAGCTGGCCCAGCTGGGGCCTAAGTTCTCACGGTGACAGGGCAGATATGGGAAGTCAATCTTATTCCCTTCTTCAGTTCTCAGCTCCACCAAAGTACTCCTCTCCTGGATGATAGCTGCCATTTGTATAGCGTTGACTATTGTGCCCATCACTGTACCAAGTTTTTGCATTTTCTCCTTTAAATCCTCACAGCAACCATATAAATCAGGAACCATTTATATACTCAGATGAGGAAACAGAAGCAGGCTGTTCCCCAAAACACAGCCGAACTGGCAGAGTCAGGTTTCAAATCCAGCCAATCTGCCTTTAGTGCCTGTCTCCTAACTACTACTTGGGGTGTCACTTGAGGTATCAGGCTGAACGCAAGACTGAGCCCTGAGCTTGGCCCTGCCGCCCTCCAAGCTCGCTGCGGAGAAAGAATGCACTTGGGTTGACGGCAGGACTACTTGGACGCCTTCCCTTGGGAAGAGGAGGCAGATGCAGATTATCCCAGAGCGCTGGTTTGGAAGTCTGGAGTCTATAAATCCAGTCCAAGCCCACTGACTTGAGCCCTCTCCGGGGCCTCAATTTCTCGGGATGTTCAGCGGCCCCCGGAAAGCAGTTAGCACTTCAGGCGTTTGGAGCGCTCACGTGTTCCTGTGGATGCGGAACCTTTGACGCCGCAGCTCCGGGGAGCAGACGGCGCGGCCGGAGCAGCGGACCCTGTGGACCGAGGGGCGGGGCGGACGGGCTTGGGCGGGGCGGGAGGCGGAGGCGCCGCGTAGGCCGGGGAGGCCGGGCCGGCCCGGCTGGGAGCTCGAGCCCCATGAGCCGCCGCCTCCCCCGACGATGTTCCCCTCCCGGAGGAAAACGGCACAGCTGCCCTGGGAGGACGGCAGGTGAGCGGCGGCGGCCGGCCCGGGCCCCGTCCTCCCGGGTGCTGATCCTTTCCGGGCCGCCCCGCGGAATCTAGGAGCCCGAGGCCGTCGCGTCTTCGTCTCTGCGGGGCTCTCTGAGGGTCTGTGGTTCTCCTTGTGGGTCTCTCTCTGTATTTGGGTCTCTGTTTGTCTCTATGTGGGTCTCTGTCTCTACCAGTCTCCGTCACTCAGCAGGTCTGTATTTCTCCGTTGACTTCCCTTTGTGAGTTTCTGTCCCTCTATGCGAGTCTCTCTCATTATGGGTCTCTGTGTTTTTCCACTGGCCTCTATTTTCATGCCGGTCTCTGACTCCGTTGACCTCTCTCAGTGGATCTCTGTCTTTCTGTCTGTCCCTGGTTTCAGAGGGTCTGTCTTCCGTCTCTCTGATCTCTGCCTCCCCCATCACATCCCTGTAGCCTCAGACGCTACCCTCCCTCCCTCCCTCGTGCTTCCCCCTTCTCTGCAGATCGCCCAGAAGAATACACCAGACAGAAGCTCTATGCTCTGCCTGGCTGGCCACTGCCTCGCCGGGACTAAGTACTCCCAGCGTAACATTAGTTCATTTCCGGTGCAGCTGTACTTGAATGTGGCCTGCCCCATGTGTTAGGTGTGAGGTTGACCCAGACCTTAGCTAGTGATTACCACTAGAGCAGAATGGGGGTGGGGGGTGGGGGAGAGCTAGTTGGCCGTTTAGATTGGAAAGGGCTCCCACACTTCAGTCTTGAGATGTACCCCCAAAACTCTTCTCACCCAGAACACTTGATAGTGGATCTACACCTAGTGAATGAAACCTCTTTCCCTTTTCTCTGTTAAGTTTGCCAGGTGCCAAAAGGCTTTGGAATATAGTGGGCACAACTCTTTATCGTTGGGAATTTTTCAGACTTGGTGCTGAAGTAAGAAGACAGAAATATAGTAGAAAGCCTGGACTGTGGATTTAGGCCTGGACAGGAATCCTCTTTAATAGCCATGTGACCAGGAGCATACTTAATCTTTCTCCTCAGCTTTTCCATCTCTGAAACAGGGATCATAATATCTACTCTGCAGGTCTGTATGAGGATTAAAGGAGATCACATATATAAAACTGTTGACACTGTGCTTGGCATAAAGAAGGTGCCAGTTTTCTTCCAGTTACTTTTGCAGTTTGGAGGTGCTGTAACCAGAGCAGCTGAGTATTCAAACCTGTATCACTAAGCTTTGTGTGAGGGAAGAAGGGGAAGGTTATGGAGGAGAATTTCCATTTCCTAATTCCTTTCCATAAACTTTTGGAACACAACCATGATCCCACAAAACTTGTATCATTTCATGCTTTTGACACAGGGGTACAGAGATGCATGCAACAGATGCAGATAATGTAGCAATTAAAGAGTGCTGGCTCTGGAAACAGCCTGTCTGGGTTTGAATCTTACTAGCCTTGGACACAGATTGATGAATGAGAGAAAACCTCATCTGGTCTGCCTCCCCACCCCAGAAACAACGATGGCCTGGGCCTGGTAGCAGATGAGACTGCAGATCTGGAGTTTGCCAGCAGGTGGCACCAGAAGCAACTTCTCAGTGTCCGCTGTCCTGAGGAACTGGGATTTCAGCTCTGAATTCAGTTGTTCAGTGATTGGGCCCTTGCAGCACAGGAAGAGAGTGCCCATGGGGACGTGATCCTGGTAGGAAGGGAAAGCTGGACCGAGGGACCAGCACGTGAAAGTGCATGGAGTGCCCAATCCATGCCATACCCCTGGATAATTGTCACTGCTTCTTCCCCTGAAGGTGGGATGTTTCCCCATGTCCATCTCCCCAGTCTCTACCCTACCCCAAGAAAGAACCCAGAGGGAGAATCTGTAGAGGTTCCAGCCTTCCCAGGCCACTAGGAGTATTGGCCTCTGCTCCTCCCCCGCGGAAACCCCCACCACAGGACAAGGGGGGGTAAGTCAGAAGCCCTGCAAGGGTGTCCTATCAGTCTCCCTCTCTGCTGTGTGTGGGGCCTGAGCCTGGCTTCAGGCCTTCTGGCTACCAGATTGGCAGTTGTTCCTCTAGAGAGAGGCAGGAGTTGGTCTGGCTTTAGTGTGTGACAAGCATGCCCTGAATGCTTGAACCCTTCCTTTAACTCATTTAGCAAGCCCTCTGCTGTATGATTTGTGCTAGAGCCACAGCTGTGAATCTGATGACCTGTGAAGGAGACAAGCATGGACACAGGTGATTACAAAACTCTTAAGTGCTTCAAAAAGGGCAGTACCAGATACCATAGGAACACAAAGGAGGGAGGGAGTATGTATCTCTGTTTGTGTGCACGTGGGGGTGGGGTGTGGCAGTGCTAGCCATGACATTGGCGTTTGGCCTTGAAGGATCAGTGGGGTGCTTCCAGGCAGATAAAATAAGGAAAGGCATTTTAGGCAGAAGCAGTGGACTGTGTGAGGGCTAGAGCAGGAAGGAATATGGTGAGTGGAGAAACTCTGAGTTGCCCAATGTGTAGCACTGGGTGAGTAGCAGGGAGCAACTGGAGATGGGACCAGGTCACAGAGGGGTTTGACTGTCAGGCCAAGGAATTTGGCCATTATCTTATAAACAGGAGGATCATCCATGAGATTGAAGGGGTCTGAGCAGGGCAAGGACCAGATGAGACTTGGGCTAAAAGACAGGCAGTGGGTGAGGAAGGATCAAAGGGCACTTAGGAGGTAGAATCTATATGACCTTGTAGCTAATTGGTGACTCTCAGAGGTTATAAAGTAGATTGCTTTGCTGATTATTCTAGAATAGAGGAAGCTTCCATTTTCTTGGATTCCTTAGTTCCTCCTTCACTGCCCTCAGGAACTTCCAGAGAGAGGGGCAAAGAAACCAAGTGAATTCCACCATTTCTTTGTATTTCATAACCTGAAAGGCAGTCTCTCCCAGCACTACCTCAAAGTCTAAGATATTCCGCTGTTTTTCCAGCTTCTGAAGTGAGCCTGGGTGCTGTTCCCAGCCCTCGTCTTTCCTTCCCTCTCTGTCTCTCATCCCTTGTCACATGGGCTGCCCTGGACTGAAGCTTTGACATGCATTCAGTAAACTGCCTTTGTTGGTTTGGGCCTCACATTGGTTTGGGGGCAGACCTAATCTTCTCAGAGTAAAGAGTGGTCTTTTCACTGGGGCTGAAACAGGCACATGCCCCTGTTTGGGGAGCTTTCTGGTCTGAGAAACAGGATGAAGCCAAGCTTTCTGATGAGGGTGAACCTGCAGGGGAGCAGGTGGAAGGCAGTGGGTGGGGCCTCTAAGGCGGGCTTCTGCCATCAGCTCTGGACATGAGCCATTGTCTTGGGGAGGGGCAAGCGCAAAAGACAAGGAGTCTTGTCTCTGCCCTTCAGCAGCTCTTGGTCTGGCTGGGACTCAGGCACAGAAGGTAAGAGAGCATCGAGGAAGTGGGGCAGCTCCGAGACCTGGGAGTGTTTGGAGGGCCTCCTGGAGGTAGGGGGGCTCAGGCTGAGCCTAGGGCTCTAAGCAGAATTCTGATGCATGGTGGCAGCACGAACAAAAGCACTAAAGTTGCTTCTGCACTAATTCCCGGGCGCTTGGGGCAGACCAGCCACGTGCGCCTTACTTGTGGGAAGCCAGAGAAGGGGTCTGTCGCAGGACCTCGGCTCAGCCTTGCCCTTCTGACCTGCTCCCTGTTCTTGTCCCAGGTCCAGGCTGATCCCCAGCGGCCTCCCCCGGAAATGCTCCGTCTTCCACCTCTTTGTTGCCTGTCTCTTACTGGGCCTCCTCTCCCTGCTCTGGCTGCAGCTCAGCTGCTCTGGGGACGTGGCCCGGGCAGCCAGGGGACAAGGACAGGAGACCCTGGGCCCATCCCGGGCCTGCCCACCAGAGCCACCCCCTGAGCACTGGGAAGAAGATGAATCATGGGGTCCCCACCGCCTGGCAGTGCTGGTGCCCTTTCGAGAACGCTTCGAGGAGCTACTGGTCTTTGTGCCCCACATGCACCGCTTCCTGAGCAGGAAGAAGATCCAGCACCACATCTATGTGCTCAACCAGGTGGATCATTTCAGGTAAGGACCACCTCCTGAGCCAGCACCCACTCACCTGGGCCTGCCCTGGTCTCTTGGGGCCTGCTCCCTTTCCCGACAGCAATCCAGTACCAGGTGGCCCAGGCCCATGAAAGGCCAGCCAGGGCAGCAGTGAGAGGGTGGGAGGTGCTAGACCCCTCTCACTGGGTGTGACAGGAATCTGGGGGGAGGGTTTGGGGCTGGGGAGGCCCCTGATCTGGTTTCCATTTCACAAAGGTCCCTATGGCTGCTGTATGTGTCTGGGCCATACCAGGACAAGAGGGGAAGCAGGGAGACCTGTTGGGCAGTCATTGCAGTCACCTGAGCTGATGGGGGCTCGGGCAGCGTGGCAGAAGGGGTGGAGAGAAGTGATGTGGAGGAAGCGCAGACAGGGCTTGCTGGTGGATTGGCTGCGGAGATTAGGGAAAGGGAGGGTCAAAGCCACGGCTTAACTTGTTCTGGCATTAACCTAAAATCCTTGCCCTCACCAAAAACTGCTCCCCTCCATGATCACAATCCAAGCATCTCACACTCCACCCCCACCTCCTTTCCCTCCAGCTCTCTCCCACTGGGAGACGTGGACCCAACAATTCTTGGACCCTGCCAGGCCCTTTAGTCCACGATCCTCCCAGTGTTCTCCATCCTCCTTGTCCTTACTTTCTCCTGATCTAACTTGGATTCCATGGTCCTTGGTGAAAGTCACTCCCTCACATGCACCTTAACTCCCTTCCACTTTCTCCCTGGCACAACTCCCACCGGATGAAACTCGACTCTGCCTGCTACACACCTGCACCTGGCAGCTGGATGTAGCTGGAGACACTGTTCATCTCCCTGACAATGAGCTCTGGCCCAGGAGGGCTCTCATTCCTCTGGTCTGCTGCCTCTCCCCTCCACGGCAGCCTTGCACACCCGCTCCTCTCCTCACTTCTCCCTATCTTCACCTTCAGCCAATTACTTTGCTTCATATTTGAGAAAACAGAATCAATTGGAAGAGAACTAACCCAGGTCCCCACGCCCGGACTCCTTTCACAGCTTCTGTGCAGGTGTCCTCAGTTTCCCACCGCCTTTCCCGAGGATGACCCTCCAGGGCCAGCTCTCCTGCTCGGGCACTGGGTCCCTTTTCTGCTCTTCTACTCAAGGACATCACTCCAGCCATTGGCTCTCTTCTCTCCTGCATGATCAATTTTCCCCCCTCCTGGAGTATTCAAATCAACAAACATACTGAAATAGCCCCCATCTAAACAGAAAAAAGAGAACCCCGCTTGATCCCCTATCGCCCACATCTATTGCCTCTTTTCTTTGCTCCCCTTTCTAGCAAAACTCCTTCCCTTTCTCCCCCCTCGCTCTCTCTTGAACCTATTCCACTCAGACATTTACCCTCATCATGACATTGAAACAGCTGTTGTTGACATCACCAATGAGCCCACCTTGATAATCCAAAGCCCAGTTCCCAATCTTCATCCTATCGACTTCCTGGCAGCATTTGCCAAGTGGATTACTTCTTCCTTCTTAAAACACCTCAGTTTGACCTTTGGGACAGTGCTCTGCTTCTCTTTCCTCTCTGGCCACCTCTCCCCACCTCCTTTGCTGGTTCTGCCTCATCCCCTTGATCTCTCAGCCTTGGTGTTCCTTGGGGGTCAGTGCTTGGGCACCGTCTTTTCTGGCTCCAGTCGCTCCCCAGGGGATCTCATCTAGTCTCAAGACATCAAATCTCATTTCTACCCTGATGACTCCCAAGTCTGTATTCCCAGCCCAGACCTCTCTCCTGAACTCCAGACCCATATATCCAGCCAGCTGCCTGTGCAGCCCTCTGTTTGGTGGTCTCAAGAGGCATCTCAAGCTTAACATGATTAAAACTGAATTCCTGATTTCCCACCTGTCCCTGACCTTCTCCTGCCCCCTTCCTCATTTCAGGAAATGGAAACTCCACACTCCCAGCTGCTCAGGCCAGAAAGCCTTCAGGTCATCCTCAACTCCTCTTCCCTCACACAACACGTCTAGTCCATCAGCAGAATGCATCTAGAATCTGCCCTCTTCTCACCGTCTCCACGGCCACCTCCCTGAGTTAAGGCATCATCATCTCATGCCTAAATTATTGTAACAGCCTCCCAACCTGTCTCCCTGCTTCCACCCCTCACCTTCCAGTCTCTTCTCAACACCCCAACTAGAGTGAGCCTATTAAACGCTGAGTCACAGCACATGATGCCTCTGCTCTAAGCCCTTCAGTGGCTCCCCATCTCATCCAGGGTCAAAGCTCAAGTCCTTCAGGGGCCTGTCACCCTCTGACCTCATTCCCTGAGACCTCTCACTCACTCTGCTTCACCACCTTGCTATCTGCTCCTGCCTCGGGCCCTGGGAGTTGCTCTTCTCTCTGCTCGGAGCCCTATTCCCCTGATTTCCATAGGGCTCATTCCCTCAGGCCTTCAGGTTCTGCTCACGTGTCACCCTGTTACACAGGCCCTCCCTGATGACCTCCTCTAAAAGGACAACCCCCACCCCACAGCATGCTTTATCCTCGTCACCCTGCTTTACTATTCTTCTCAGCACTTACCACTCCCTGGCTTGTTACATATTTACTTACTTGTTTATTTTTGTCTCTTCTTATTAGAATGTCAGCTCCTTGAGGGCTTTGATTTCTCACTGCTGTATCTCCAGTGCTCTGAATAGTTTCTGGCACATAATAGGGTCTCAGTAAACATTTGTGAGATAAGTGGAGGGGCAGATGTGCAGCTGGGCAGACCCACAATGAAGTCAGTGTCAGGCTGGAGGGCAGCATGGGTACTGGGGGTGGGTGCTGTGAAGGATGGGCTCTCATGCAGAGATTGGGGGAGAGCAAGCTCACTACCCCTGGCCCAGCCTCGGTGCCCTGCACAGGTTCAACCGGGCAGCACTCATCAACGCGGGCTTTCTGGAGAGCAGCAACAGCACAGACTACATCGCCATGCACGACGTGGACCTGCTCCCTCTCAATGAGGAGCTGGACTATGGCTTCCCAGAGACCGGGCCCTTCCACGTGGCCTCCCCGGAGCTCCACCCACTCTACCACTACAAGACCTACGTCGGTGGCATCCTGCTGCTTTCCAAGCAGCACTACCAGCTGGTGAGGCCTGGCGCACCTACTCTGCTGAGAGCCAGGGAGCACCCACCTGGATGGGGGCAGTGGCAAGAGGAGCAGCATTTCTAGGGCCCAGCAGATGGAGGGTCCTGCTTGGGGAGCCCAGGAGCAGCCAGAGGCATGAGAGGAGCAGGACCAAACAAGCCAGTTAGGGAGGGTTCTGCCACAGCAACAGAACCCCTGGGCAAACTGGCTTCAGAAGCCCTGGGGTTCGTTGCCTCTCAAAATGGAAAAGTCTGGGTGGGGCTGTCTTGCCCAGCCTCTCAGATGATGTCACCAGGACACCATTTCACCTTCCATCTCTCAGCTCTGCCTTCTCTAGACTGGCTTTATTTTCAGACGTTCAGGATGCAAGGTGGTGGTTGTAGCTGCAACCTGCATCCGTCTAGGCCCAAGTCCAGTGGAAAATGGAGCTGCCCGTTTCCAACAGCCCAGACAGGAGACCCGCAGCTGCCCCATGCTGGCTCTTGATTGGCCTGGCTTGAGTCACAGGTCTATCCCTGAATCAGTCACTGTGGTAGGGGGTGGGAGTGGGTGGTGGGGTGGGAAGCTGGGGAGGAGGAGGAAAGGGGGTCTGGCCTGGCCCAGCTTGGGCTAGGGACTCCCAAGTGGTAGGAGACCAAAGAGCACCCTGGGAGGATGGGGCAAGTGACATTGCTTGTCTTTGTGTCAGTGCAACGGGATGTCCAACCGCTTCTGGGGCTGGGGCCGTGAGGACGACGAGTTCTACCGGCGCATCAAAGGAGCCGGGCTCCAGGTAATGCTCCCCCGCCGCCCCACCTCTTCAGCCATCATGGCTGCCCTGAGGTTCCTCTCTGCCCTCAGATGAAGTTCCTGGGGCTGGGAGATGGCACCCCTGGTTCTGATCCCAGCCCTGCCCCCGACTAGCACACCTCTCCTGAAGAATGGGAATGCAGGCCCCTGCCTGTGGGCTATGGCAGGCAGTGGGACCCCAGAGGACTAGTGGTGAGGGCCAGGGCTCCAGGAGAGGCAGCCTGATCCAACTTCCTTTGGTCTCTTTAGCTTTTCCGCCCCTCGGGAATCACAACTGGGTACAAGACATTTCGCCACCTGCATGACCCAGCCTGGAGGAAGAGGGACCAGAAGCGCATCGCGGCTCAAAAACAGGTACTGGCTGGTCCCTTGATCGGGGATGGATAGGTGGTATATGGGGAACCACCAGGCTCAAGCATTTCATCAAGTTCTCCTTGGGCCCAAGTGGCCCCATCCTCCCCTGCTTGGCCCAGGTCAGTCGTTGGCATTCTGCTTGGGCACCATGCCCTCCTCTGGTGGCTGCCATGGCCCCTGGGCTCTGTGGGTCAGCCGAGACCTCAGGGTCCACGCAGGCTGTGTGTGTCGGGGGGAGTGGGGATGGGACTCAGCTGAAGGTGCCAGCATCCTAGGCAGACCTGGGATACAGGAGTCCCCATCCCTCAATAGCCTCTTCTCTAGGAGCCAGATTAGTTCAACTGGAAAACCCCTGCTGACGAGGATGTGTAGCCATGGGCGAGAGACTTCCCATCTCTGAGCTTCCCTTTTCCCTCTCTTCTGTGGGGATCACAGGACCTCTGATGACAAGGTCGTGGGGGATCAGTGGACAGCTGGCACCCACAAAGCCCTGAGTACATGCTCTCCCCCTTTCCTTCCCAGGAGCAGTTCAGGGTGGACCGGGAGGGAGGCCTGAGCACCGTGAAGTACCGCGTGGATTCCCGTACAGCCCTGTCTGTGGGCGGGGCCCCCTGCACTGTTCTCAACATCATGTTGGACTGTGACAAGGCTGCCACCCCCTGGTGCACATTCAGCTGAGTTGGCTGGACAGCAAGGAAGCCTGTGCCTACAGGCCATACTGCTACTCAAGCCCAGGACAAAGCCTCAGGCCCTGGGCCCAGCTCCAATAGGACGTGGAGTGGCCTGAAGCAGTGGACAGCAAGCCACGTGTTTGCAGCAGCCCGGCCCCCAGAGGCAGGCTTGAGCCAGGAGAGGACACACGCAGGGTGCCTGGGACGCTGCCAGCAGTAAACAATGATGGAGAGAGGCTGGGACATGGTTTCCAACTGAGACTCTCCACTCTGCCTTCCTGCTTGCCCTGCCCTACCCTCCTTTGTGTGCTGAGATCTGCAAGATCTTGTTCCTTCTCCTGGACTGCCAGGCCACTGATGTGGGTGGCAAGGGCCATCAGGAGGGTTAAAACTGCAGAGACCAGTGTGCAAGCCCCACAGAAAGGGAGCAACTGAGACCAGCTCTAGCTGGTTGTCACCCTGAAGGAGTGTGGGCCTGGTGTTGCCAGATCTTCTGATTTTTCAAAAGAAAGTAGAATTCTGGATTCTTGAGTGAAATTGGTTAATTTAAAAATGATAGCAACTAATTCAAACTTGTAACAAGTATGGTAAGCCAAACCAAATGTGTTTTGAACCACCAGTTTGTCACCTGTGGCTGAGGGGAAGGGGATGGGGCAAAAGATGACACTTCTCTTAGTTATAAGCTGGCAAGGAGTTGGGGCAGGGCTAGGGAAGACGAGGCCAGGGGAAGCTCAGGTGGGAGAGAACCCCAAGGCACAAGGTCCCTACTCCCTCCCTCAGCACTCCAGGCTTTTGCTGCCCTTCTGGACAGTCTGACCACTGCCAGGCTCTGGTGGGCTCCGACTGGAAGGGGTGCTTCATCCTGCCTCACTGAGATGGACAGAAATAGATTGCAGGACTGGACTTACGGTAGGCAGGCTGCATCTGCAAAGACTCACTGGGTCATGGCTCAGGGAGGGAAGACCATGTTTCTGAGGCGGGAGGAAGATGAGAAGTAGGAGAACCCCTCGAGTATTCCCACAGCATGAGGGGAGACTACCAGTGGTCACCAAATGCCACAGAGAGGTGAGGGAGGGGAGCCAAGGGAGCTGGTGGAACTGGGGAGTCATCTTGGAGGAACCATCTGGAGGTAAGCCCAGGGCCAATGAGAGAGGGAAGTGATGGGCCCTGAAAGGTAAATCACTCCTTCAGGGCATTTGACTGCCAAAGATTTGGGGCAGAAGTCAGAGGAGACTGGGACCAGTTACGGTTAGTGTGTTTAACAATAAATAGGACACCTGAAGTGCAAGAGGAAGGACTGAGGTCCCCGATTTCAGGAGGGTAGAATTCAGCAGCTCTGCTCCAAAAAGACTCCTCCAAGGATGATCTTAGGGCTGCTGCGTGCAGTTGTGTGGGTTGTGCACTGTACAACCTGAGCATAAACCAAGAGGTTTAAGCAAAGATGAGTGGAGGGAGTGAAGAGCTTCAGGTTCCATGTAACTATTCAAACTTATAAGAGAGGGTCCTTGCGATCCTAAATTGACCTCGCCCAGCAGTTCAGTTTTACTCTCTACGGTGAAGGGCAAACAGACCTTGATTACAGTGCAAGGGTATTCAAGGGACTTTCTCAACTTCAGGCCCAGGAGAGGGGAATGGTGTACTTTCTGTTTGCTGGTCTCCTGAACAACCCTGACTGTCATCTTGGACTTAGAAAACATGAAGCGTCTTGGAGATGGTGGGAATAGATGTGACAACGCCTCCAGCTCTGTACTCACCTGGTAGGTATGAAGACCAAAAAGATGGGGGATTCCTTCCTTTCCATGTGCACTGGGAATTGGGATGAGCAGGAGAAAAGCAGGATCAGCCAGCTCAGCCTGGGCTGGGGTGCATTTCTAACCCTACGCTCTCACACTCCCCCACGGCCGCTGCCACCACCTCCATCATCCAAACACCAGAAGGCACCCCAGGCCAGGCCTGATGCAGCTTGAATCTTCAGCCCCCATCACTCCCCAGCGCGGGCCTCCCCCAAGCCACTCTGGGAGAGTGGGAGAAGGCTGAGAGGTGGTCAGTAATGGGAAGAAGCAGACAGCCCTTCTGCCTCCTCAGCACCCTGGCTGCTTCTCTGTGGCATGGAACAAATGTCCCTGCCTTGCTGGTCAGAACCCAGGATCTAGAAGCACCTGGCACACGCTTGGCCAATGTGGTTGTAATGATAACAACCAGCACTTGTTGATCATTCACATATACAAAATTTAATATATTGCTTTATTTCATGTAGGCCTTCACCTAAGAGCTAGGCCTTATTTATTGACCTGTTTTTTAAATTTATTTATTATTTTTGGCTGCGTTAGGTCTTTGTTGCTGCCCACGGGCTTTCTCTAGCTGCGGTGAGCAGGGGCTATTCTTCGTTGTGGTGCGCATGGTCCTCATTGAAGTGGCTTCTCTTGTTGCGGAGCATGGGCTCTAGGCACGTGGGCTCAGTAGTTGTGGCTCGCGGGCTCTAGAGCACAGACAGTAGTTGTGGCGCACAGGCTTAGTTGCTCCGCGGCATGTGGGATCTTCCCGGACCATGGCTCGCACCCGTGTCCCCTGCATTGGCAGGCAGATTCTTAACCACTATACCACCAGGGAAGTCCTATTAACCTGTTTTATAGATGAAGACGGTGAAGCACAGAAAGGTAAGAAACTTGCCCAAGGACACAAAGCTGATAAGTAGTGGAGCTTGGGATTTGGACCCCCAGAATCTGCCTTCTGAGCAGAAGAAAACATAGGAGAAAATCTAGGTGATGTTTGCTTTGGCAGTAAGTTTTTAGATACAATACCAAAAATAAGATCCATGAAAGAAATAATTGATGTTAGACTTTATTAAAACTTAAAACTTCTACTCTGTGAAAGCAACGGTTAAGAGAATGAAAAGACAAGCCACAGACTAGGAAAAAAAACTTTGTAAAACATATATCTGATAAAGGACTTGTGCCCAAAATATACAAAGAATCTTAAAATTCAACAAGACAACAAAAATCCAAGTGAAAAAATGCGCAAAAGATCTGAACAGACACTTCAACAACGAAAATATACAGATGGCAAATAAGCATATGAAAAGATGCGCAACATGATTTGTCACTAGGGAATTGCAAATTAAAACAACGACACACCACTACATACCTGCTAGAATGGCTAAAATCTGAAAAATGACAATACCAAATGCTGGTGAGGATATAGAGCAAAGGGAAGCATTCTCACCATTAGTGAGAATGCAAAATGATACATCCACTTTGGAAGATGGTATGGTAGTTTCATACAAGGCTGAACATAATCATGACATATGATTCAGCAATCTCACTCCTAGGTATTTACCCAATCGATTTGAAAATTTGTCCTCACAAAAACTTGCATGTGAATGTTTATAGCAGATTTATTCGTAATCACTAAGTACAAGAAGTGACCAAGATTACCTTCAATAGGTGAATGGATAAACAAACTAGTGGTACATTTATACAATGGAACATTATTCAGCACTAAGAAGAAATGAGCTACCAAGTCATAAAAAGACATGGAAGAACCTTAAATACATGTTGCTGAGTGAAAGACGCCAGTCTAAAAAAGCTATATAGGGAATTCCCTGGTGGTCCAGTGGTTAGGATTCTGCTCTCACTGCCAAGGGCCCGGGTTCGATCCCTGGTCAGGGAACTTAAATCCCATAAGATGTGTGACATGGCCAAGAAAATTTAAAACAAACTTTAAAAACTGTATAGTATATGATTGCAATTATAGGACATTCTGGAAAAGGCAAAACTATAGAGATAGTAAAACTATAGAGACGGTGGTTGCCAAAGGTTTGGGGAGAGGGAAGGAATGTTGAATAGATAAAGCACAAGAGATATTTAGGGTGGTGAAACTATTCTGTGTGTAATGGTGCACACAGGGTAGTTGATGTGCATGACATTATGCATTTGTTAAAACCCACCGAACTTTTAGCATAAAGAATCAGCCTTGGGAATTCGCTGGCTGTCCAGTGGTTAGGACTCTGCACTTCCACTGCAGAGGGCATAGGTTTGACCCCTAGTGGGGGGACTAAGATCCCGCAAGCCACACGGCGCAGCCAAAAAAAAAAAAAAAAAAAAAAAAAAGTGAGTCAATGTATGCAAATTTTAAAAAGTCATTTAGTAGGTAAGGGGATCCCAGGAAGGAATGCAGACTATGACAAGAAAATCTAACTACATTACAATGTACAAAACTACCTCACTGAAGGGGATGGGGGATTAGGTGCTGACCTAAGTAACACTAGAAACAAGTGGAATCTGTAAGACTAAAGTCAAAAGGAAGTGCACATATGCACTATCCTCTAGTTGTTTCCCATGGGGATATGGGGTGTGGTATAACAGTTCTGTATATTAGGATTGAGCAATTAAGTGAATGGATGGTGGGAGCCAGGTTTCTTACTGTTGGAGTGGGAATTTATGAATAAGCAAAGGGCAGAAGGCTAGAATGAAGAATGTGATGATGGATTAGAGTTGGATAAACCAGTATGAGTTTACATTAAGCTTAATTATACAGAGAAATATTTACATATGTGTGTATACACACGTATCACACACACATATATTTCCTTGTTCTGTCAGCTGAGAGGACCTAGCAGCAATGACACTCCAGGGCAATGAGCACAACTAGTGCCCAGATCTTGGTTTCAAATACCATCCTCCAATGAAAGGAACCACGGCTCCTTAGACAAATGGTTGAGTCAAGGACTGGGGTGGAAAATATACAAGATGAGTCTGGAGCATCTTTTAGTTCCAGAAAGTAAGGAAATGTTTTTTAAAAGTTGATGGGGGGCGCTTCCCTAGTGGCACAGTTGTTAAGAGTCCGCCTACCGATGCAGGGGACATGGGTTCGTGCCCCGGTCTGGGAGGATCCTGCATGACGCGGAGCGGCTGGGCCCGTGAGCCATGGGCGCTGAGCCTGCACATCCGGAGCCTGTGCTCCGCGACAGGAGAGGCCACAACAGTGAGAGGCCCGCGTACCGCAAAAAAGAAAAAAAAAAAAGGTGATGGGGGTATTGTCAAAGGAACACAGGAGCCAAATTAAAGAGCTCTCAATGGCTAAAACTGGAACAATTTGAGGAAAAAAAAAGAAAAAAGAAAGTAATATTGGGTTATAACCCAATGCATAAAATAAAAATACATGCATCCATACTGATAAATATCAATAAATAAGTGGAGGAGAAGAGACAAATGTCTTATGCAGAATTATTCCAGATAATTTATGTCGATACTCTGCCCTCAAGGAAGGGGAGCATAACTCCCCACTCCTTACCTGTCAACTGCGTATAGTGACTTCCTTCCAAAGAGGACAGTGTGGAAAGGGGGTGAGGTGGGGAGAGTAACTGTACAATGGGAAAACGTGACAAACACTACCCCAGCCAGGTGATCAAGGACAACATCAACAGTGATAAATCATCTTGATAGTATGTATGCTTGACATGTTGTGATGAAAATGATACTTTATGCCTGTGGTCTTCTTCCCCCAAATCCATAACTCCAGTCTA